TTCGTTTTCTCTTTACTCTGCCTCTTCCCTTCGTTTCTTCGTCTCCTTCTCCTCCTACTTTTATTCTCTCCCTCTTCTGCTCCTCATCTTTCTCCAAATACCCCCTTCCTCCTACACTCATCTCACCCTCCCTTCCACCCCCTTCCCTCCCTCCCACTTCGTCAACCCCCTTCCCCTTCCTCGTCTCTCTCTCCCTTCCTTCCCCTCTCACCCCCCCACTCCCATTCATCCCCCTCCCCCTCCACCAAACGAGCCATGTAGAGTCAATGAAGAGAGCACGGTTCGCTTCAGTCAGACCCCTCCCTCTCCTCCTTTTTCCCTCTCCTCTCCCCCTCCAACACGCCCTCCCCTAACACCCTCCCCCTCTCCATCACGCCCTCCTCCCTCCCCCTCTCCTTCCACGCCCTCCTCCCTCTCCCTCTCCTTCCACACCTCCTCCTTCTCCTCTCCCTCCACACCCTCCTCCCTCCCCTCTCCCCTCACGCCCTCCTCATCCCTCCCCTCCCCATCTCCCCCTCCCCCTCCCTCTCCCCTCTCCCCCCATCCTCCCTCCCCTTTCCCCCTCCTCCTCTCCCCCACGCCCACCTCCGTCTCCACAACCCGGCCTCTCGAAACCGCCCGACGACGAAACAGCACGACGTTCGACTGTGGCGGGGGTTATTCGGGTGGCGGGGGGGGGTAAGTGAGGGGAAGAAGGGAAGAGGAGGGAGAGAGAGGGAAGCGTGTGGGGAAGGGGAGGAGAAGGAGAGGAGGAGGAGGAGAGGAGTGAGGGTGAATGAGAAGTGAGGGATGAGGATGAGGAGGAGGAGAGGAGGAGGAATGAGAGAATGAGGAGGAGGAGGAGGAGGAGGAGGAGGAGGAGGGGGAAGAAAGAGGAAAAGAGGAGGAGGAAGGGGAAGGAGGAGAAGGAGGAGAAAGAGGCGGGGAAGGACGAGGAGGAGGGGGAAAAGAGCAGAAGAAGAAAGACGAGTAGAAAGAGAAGGGAAAATTAGCACAATCCAACTACAAAAAAATAATAATAATAAATAAAAAGGAGAAAGAGAGACGAGAAACGAAGAAAAAGCGAAAATGGAATCAGAGCCAGCCGGACACCGAATAAGGATGGCTACATTACGCAACTTACGACCGTAATCTACCGCGTTATAAGGTCTATATTTCCATGACATCAACGGAGTAAGAAGAAGAAGAAGGAAAAGCGAAAGTCGGGGATAAACGCGAGAAGTAAATAAAGAGAGGAGACAGAAAACGAGGGATGGAATGACGGGGGGAAATGGAGGAATGACGAAGGAAAAAAAAAAAGCAAATAGGGATGAGAAGAATGGAAGAGAAATAATAAAGGAGAATAGACAAAGAACGAAGAAGAGAAGAAGGAAAGATGAAAAAGGTGATATAAAAACGAAATTAGAGAAAATCGGAAAAGTAAGACTTAAAAGTCAAGTCAGGGAAATGGAAGGAAGAAAAGGGAGTAAAGAGGAGACGAGGAGGAGGAGAAGGAAAAATAGGAAGAAGGGAAATATGAAAAGACGAAGGAGCAAATGGATGAGAAGGAAGAGAAGGAAGAGGAGGAGTAGGCAGAAGGATATTAGGGAGAAAGGAGGAGGAGGAGGAAGGTGGGAAGAGGAGGGGGAGGGGCAGTGAATCACCTACTGTTAAAACGCACACAATTAGACGCACACTGGCCGTACACATACGTACACATACATACACACACGTCAGTTCCTCACTCATTTCCTGTTCTATTTTCATTTATTTTTACGGGAAGAGAGGAGGGGAGATAACGAAAGAGAGATGAGTCAGGAGAAGAGAAAATGGGGAACGGAATATAAAAATTGCGAAAAATATGAAGAGAAAAAATACAAACTGATAAGATAAAATGCACAAGTATATGTATGAGTGAGTGAGTGAGTGTGTGAGTGTGTGAGTGTGTGTGTGTGTGTGTGTGTGTGTGTGTGTGTGTGTGTGTGTGTGTGTGTGTGTGTGTGTGTGTGTGTGTGTGTGTGTGTGTGTGTGTGTGTGTGTCTGTCCTGTGTGCTGTGCTGTGCATGTGCATGTGCTGTGCTGTGCATGTGCTGTGCATGTGCATGTGCTTGTGCGTGCTTGCCAGTGCACGTGCTTGTATGTACACGTACGCGTGTTTATGCATGTGCGCGTGTGTATGTATATACCTCCGTACATGTCCCGGAGCACACTCCCTTATACATACAAGCCCACAACACACACAAATACCCCCCCCCAAAAAAAAAATAAATAAATAAAATAAAAATAAATAAATAAATAATAAATAAATAAATAATACAAACAAAAATGACCAAAAACAAGAAAAAATAAGAAAATAAAAAAAATAAAATAAATAAATAAATATAAATAAATAAAAAATACAAACAAAAATAACCAACAACAACTTGGCCCGGTACTCACCCAGTGCGCGTCCCACTTGTTCTTGACGAAGGCGGGGCCGAGGGAGCGGGCGGGGTTCATGGAGGCGCCCGTCAGGGGGAGCTGCAGGGGGGGGGGGGGAGAAAAAAAGGATTATCATGGGCGTCCTTATAAGGTCATTTTTTATTATTTGTTATCGGGGAACTTATAAAGTAATTTTTTATTATTTGTTATCGGAAAACTTATAAGATTATTTGTTATCGGAAAACTTATAAAGTCATTTTTTATTATTTGTTATCGGGGAACTTATAAAGTAATTTTTTATTATTTGTTATCGGAAAACTTGTGAAGAAATTGTTATTTTCATTATCATGGGCGTCCTTATAAAGTAATTCTTTTCTAATGTGTTATCGGGAAACTTGTAAAGTAATTATTTATTATTTGTTATCTGAAAACTTATAAAGTAATTATTTATTATTTGTCATCGGAAAACAAAGTAATTGATGTTTTTTTATTATCGGAAAACTTGTAAAGAAATTGTTATCTTTATCATCATCACCAACAGCATCCAATCAAAGTAATTGTTGTTTTCTATTGTAAGAAAACTTGGGAAGAAATTGTTAATTTCATCGCCATCACCATTATCATCAAATCAAGTTAATTGTTATTTATTTTATCGAAAAACTTGAAAAGAAATTGTCATTTTCATCCTCATCATCATCAGCTGCATCCAATTAAAGTAATTATTAACTTCTATTTTCAGAAAACTTATCGGAAGTAAAGTATTGTTATTTTATATCATCAAAGTAATTATCAAAGTAATTTTATTTCCTATTATTAAAGTTCCAATTATCAGCATCCTTGTAAAGCAATTGTTATTTTCCACAATCAACAAACTTGTCATTGTTATTACTATCATTATCATCCATCGTCATCATCATCTGTCACTCATTAAAGCCTACAGGTCACCACACTCGCATCTCTACAGGTCACCACACTCGCATCTCTACAGGTCACCACACTCGCATCTCTACAGGTCAGCATCTCTACAGTCGCATCTCTACAGGTCACCACACTCGGTCACGGTCATCGCATCTTCTACAGGTCACCACACTCGCATCTCTACAGGTCAGGGTCATCGCATCTCTACAGGTCACCACACTCTCTACAGGTCACCACACTCTCTCTACAGGTCACACACTCGCATCTCTACAGGTCACCACACTCGCGGTCACCACACTCGCATCTCTACAGGTCACACACTCGCATCTCTACAGGTCACCACACTCGCATCTCTACAGGTCACCACACTCGCATCTCTACTCACCACAACTCGCATCTCTACAGGTCACCACACTCGCATCTCTACAGGTCACCACACTCGCATCTCTACAGGTCACCACACTCGCATCTCTACAGGTCATCTCTCGGTCAGCATCCTACAGGTCACCACACTCGCATCTCTACAGGTCACCACACTCGCATCTCTACAGGTCACCACACTCGCATCTCTACAGGTCACCACACTCGCATCTTCTACAGCACCACACTCGCATCTCTACAGGTCACCAGCATCTCTACAGTCATCGCATCTCTACAGGTCACACACATCTCTATCACCACACTCGCATCTACTCACCAGCATCTCTACAGGTCACCACACTCGCATCTCTACAGGTCACCACACTCGCATCTCTACAGGTCACCACACTCGCATCTCTACAGGTCACCACACTCGCATCTCTACAGGTCACCACACTCGCATCTCTACAGGTCACCACACTCGCATCTCTACAGGTCATTCTCTACAGTCACCACAACTCGCATCTCTACAGGTCACCACACTCGCATCTCTACAGGTCACCACACTCGCATCTCTACAGGTCACCACACTCGCATCTCTACAGGTCACCACACTCTCTACAGCGTCACCACACTCGCATCTCTACAGGTCACCACACTCGCATCTCTACAGGTCACCACACTCGCATCTCTACAGGTCACCACACTCGCATCTCTACAGGTCACCACACTCGCATCTCTACAGGTCACACACTCGCATCTCTACAGGTCACCACACTCGCATCTCTACAGGTCACCACACTCGCATCTCTACAGGTCACCACACTCGCAATCTCTACAGGTCACCACACATCTACAGGTCACCACACTCGCATCTCTACAGGTCACCACACTTCGCATCTCTACAGGTCACCACACTCGCATCTCTACAGGTCACCACACTCGCATCTCTACAGGTCACCACACTCGCATCTCTACAGGTCACCACACTCGCATCTCTACAGGTCTCGCATCTCTTCACCACACTCGCATCTCTACAGGTCACCACACTCGCATCTCTACAGGTCACCACACTCGCATCTCTACAGGTCACCACACTCGCATCTCTACAGGTCACCACACTCTCTACAGGTCACCACACTCTCTCTACAGTCACTCGCATCTCTACAACCACACTCGCATCTCTACAGGTCACCACACTCGCATCACAGTCACCACATCGCATCTCTACAGGTCACCACACTCGGTCACCACACTCTCACACCGCATCTCTTCACCACACTCCGGTCACCACACTCGCATCTCTACACGGGGTCACAAGTCATCCCACTCCCCTCACACCCACCCACAATAACCCCAACATGTCTCCTACGCCCTTCCAGTGATCTTCACGCCGTCCCCTCCCCCCACCACCTTCATCACACCCCTGCCCTCCACTCTCCCCCACCCACCTTCATCACACCCCTCCCCCTCCACTCTCCCCCACCCACCATCACCACACCCCTCCTCCTCCACTCTCCCCCCACCCACCTTCCTCACACCCCTCCCCCTCCACTCTCCCCCACCACCTTCATCACACCCTCCCCCTCCACTCTCTTCATCACCCCCCTCACTCTCCCCCCACCCACCCCGTCATTCGGTTTTCTTGTCCACTTTTGGCCAGGGTCCCTCCGTGTTTACATAACTCTTGCAATAAACGTGTTTTCAATTGGACTTCTGCGTCTTAAGTCTGTTTTGGTTATCGCCTTTATTTATTTATTCTAATTCTAGTCTTTGTCATCAATATCATTATCATCATCAGTATCATTATTACTATCACTATTATTATTATTATCATTAGCATGATTATTATTATTATCATTATCATTAATAGTATCATCACCATCATCATCTTTATTTATTTATTCTAATTCTTATCATCATCATCATCAATGTTATTATCATCACCATTATTGTAATTTACGAAATGTAATCCTCTTTTTACTGGCCGTGAAATGTGACTGACCTGACCTATGGCCTTGAACAATTTTATTTTCATTTGATTTGACCAGAGCAGTGGCCATGACCACCTCATTTCATATCTGACCTTACTTGTCCAGAAATGGCCCCATTTCCTTTACCTAAAACGTGGCCACATCTGACATGGCCCAAGTTGACCTAACACATGGCCACATCTGACATGACCTGACTTGAACTGACACGTGATCACTTCTGACATACCCGATTTCTTGGACCCGACACGTGGCCACATCTGACATACCCGAATTCTTGTACCCGACACGTGGCCACATCTGACACGACCCGACTTCTTAGACCCGACACGTGGCCACATCTGACACGACCCGACTTCTTTTGACCCGACACGTAGGCCACATCTGACACGACCCGACTTCTTAGACCCGACACGTGGCCACATCTGACACGACCCGACTTCTTTGACCCGACACGTGGCCACATCTGACACGACCCGACTTCTTAGACCCGACACGTGGCCACATCTGACACGACCCGACTTCTTAGACCCGACACCGACACGACCCGACTATCACACATTCTGACACGAACCCGACTTCTTTGTGACGCCGACACGTGGCCCAACATCTGAACACGACCCAGACTTCTTGGACCCGACACGTGGCCACATCTGACACGAACCCGCACCTTCTTTGACCCGACACGTGGCCACTCCTTTCTTCCGCTTGCAACATATTGACACTTTGTTGGCGAGATAAAAACTGGCTTCTCGTCCCACTCGCCGCCCGCACGCCATATTGGAATCGGGGCTGACTGCCAAAGCCCCGACGCCCGCGCAAGGCAAATAAAGGAAGGGGGTGAAACGGATATCCGAAGGGAGAGGCAGAAAACGAAAGCTGCTTTCAAAAAACACACACACACACACACAAAACACACACACACACACACACGACGGACACATATATATATATATAATATATATACACACAACACCAACGGGCACATATATACACCACACGCGCCACAATATATAATACACCACACACGCCATATATTTATAATATACCACACACACACAAGCACATATAATACACACACACACGCAGCATAACATATATACACACACACGCACATACATATATAACACACACACGGCCACATACATATATACACAACACACACCACGCAACATACATATATACACAACACATAACGCACATACATATATACAACAAACACACAATACGCACATACATATATTACACACACACATACGACAATACATATATACACACACACGCGCAACATATATATACACACACGCACACGCAACATATAATTTATATATACCAACACACACACAACGCACATATATATACACACACACACGCACATAACATATATCACGACACACACGCACATACATATTACACACACACACGCACATACAATATATAATACAACATCTATCTCAACCACATATATACACCACACACACACACACGCACATACATAATACACACACACCGCACATACATAATATACACACACACACGCACATACATATATACACACACACACACGCACATTACATAATACAGCACACACAACATCGCACATACATATATACACACACACACAGCACCATACATATATACACAAGCACACATTACGACTATACATATATCCCAAAAAAACACATAAACCGGGCCACCAAATTAAACATATTATTACAAAACACACACACATAACGCAACCAATACAATAATATAAAAACAACCAAATACAAACCCGGTTACAATAACCATAATATACACACACACACACGCACATTACATATATATACAC